CTTTGAAATAACAAATTCTACAAGTGAACCTAAACCTTGTAAATTCTTTAGTGCAATGCAATGCATGGATGGTTCAAAGCACTGGGTTGGCATGGCTCATTTCTGATGAGTAATGATATACAAATATTTTTATATTGAATCACCATTTGTGAGGATAAAATACGATAGCCAGTTTTTGAATGAATTTTCCTTCTGGTTAGGTTAACATCGCTTTGGCTTAACTTTACGGGGATGGCTATTTCTGAAAAGGGCCTAATAATTCTTTTTTTTTTTTCGCCTTCTACATAAATGACGAACTGAGTGATGAATAAACCTTTGAATCTGGAAAACAACATTATTTTCCCAAGCGAGGCGTGAATACCACATGAGACCCTCCTTTGCATTTTTTTCTCAAGGATGCATTCATTTTGAATTTTTGCTTGCTTTCTCTGCATGGGAAGATGAAAAAAATAAATCTTCATTGTTATGATGATAAGCTTTTTCGATCACAAGAGTTGATGGCACTACTCTGTATTGGGCTCTTTTTCAATTTGCAGAATCTACTGCTATTTCTTTATTTTGGCTTAGATCTTAGAACTTTAAATTCTTTTGATCACCACGCCAATTTTTTCATTCATTTCAATTGTTTATTCTCTCGATAACAAAATATTAGTTACCCATGTTTACTAAAATTTCTAAGCTTAGTTACCCAGTTTACTAAAGTCTGTCAGTTTTGACCTTTAGACTTCTAGTTCTTTAGCATTTGTCCATGCATGCTATACCTTTCAAGATGTTCGATCTAAGTTATCAACCGGTAAGCCAAAAACTTACTCATATGATCAATGAGAAAGAGATATAATGATTAGAGAGGGAAAAATTTAGTCTGTATTAATGAGTATTTGTAACAGAAATTGCATAAATTGGGCTCTCATAAAGACCCCCTATTTATATGTATGGATTGGGCCTTGCACGCTATAGGACAAGTTACTAAAATACGAAAACAAGACAAATTACATATTATGGCCCAATGGTTATTTGTTGCAAAATACAAGTGTTCAGTCTAATTGCAGTAGTATTAATTGATAAACAATCATATTTAAGCCTTTAACAAATGAAGCTACCAGCTTACGGGCCAAAGTTGCTAGTTCGATGAAGTCACTGACATGGGAAAAAGATATTGCCATCTTTGTTGGCTTAATAGGATTAGTTGTTGGGAAGTATGACTTGGGCTTGAACAAGTTCGCCAGAACTTGGAGCAAGAATCCCGATTCTAGCGAGCACAGCTAAATGCACCATTGACCAAAGAAATGAGTTTGCTATAATTCGATTGGGTTTGTACAAACTAGGACAGATTCATGTTGGTCTAGGTGTATTCATGAAAATAAGGGAGAGTCCATCGTCATTTATCATTCTTGCTTGACGAGTTGTCCTCGGTAAATCTATCTACACCTTAACTGAGTACATAGAATACTTGGAAATAAAAATGTAGCCTCAAAAACTCCAACCCTGCAATAAACTTCCTGAAAACTGGTGAATGCTTGAGTTAAAGAACCTGAAGAAACATTGAATCTCAACTAACAGTGCTTTCTTATCAAACTGCAACTAATGATTAATAGAAATATCACTTAAAAATATCTGGAAAAATATTTAGAAATATAAGAGAAAATTTTGAAAAACTTAAAAAACGTCCATAAATAAAGTCTTGTAAAAGAGTATTAAGATAAGAAATCAGTGAGGATATCGCAATAGAGATAAAATTAACTCGATTCTTCAAAACTTCTATAGATAGTAAGCATCTAACCTATGAACCATCTTAATCTACTAAGCTGTGAAACAAAAGATAGTAAGGATAACATAAAAAATATGCATAATTTTATTTCTTTTGAAGCCATGCAACAAGTTAGCACTTTCGGGTTTATTTGGCAAAGAAGTAACAAATCACAATCATGAGCCTCGAACAACTGATAAGGCTAATGATGCAATTTAATGGTGCAAGCTAGATGTTAGCTTATACAATAATACCAACATCTAAACAGCTAAGAGAAATGAAAAAGATAGAAATTCTTTCACATGCAATACAACAAAAACAAAGCCTAACAAAGCCTTAAACCCACTACGTGGGGTCGGTTACATGAATCATTTTTCTCCATTGCATCCTATTTAGTGTCATATTTTCATTTAGTTCTAATAAATTAGGATCATTTTTTTATACAATAAGCCTAAGCCTTCCTAGGTCTACCTCTGCCTTTCTTAACATAATTTGAATCTAAAACATCCACTCTCCGAATTGGATCATCAGATGGTCGACGTTTAATGTGACCAAACCAACTAAGACGACTTTCTCAAATTTTGTCCGTAAATTTTGTCCGTCACAGGTCACAGGAGCTACACCAACCCTATCACGGATATATTCATTTCATATTTTGCCTCTAAGTGTAAACCCACTCATCCACCTAATCATTTTCATCTTGGCAACACTTAACTTTGTATTATGCTTCTCTTCTATGACTCATAAAAAAAATAATAATAATAAAATAAAAAATCAACATAAAACTCACTATTACTCATACAACGCTAAAATATAGACTATCCAGCATTGCGAATAGTCAAAGTATTAAACGACCTCTTAATAAATAAAAATTAAAAGGAAAAGAGCACAATACTTCATGCCTTCTCGACTATTAGAGTCCTATATACCGCAGAGGTGTTTTCATCAAGCAACAAGCAAAAAAGTGCTTTGCATTCATGTACATAAATATATAAATAAACGTGAATTAAAAGGAAAAAGTAAAACCCAAGCACGAAACGAATTGTGAAATCAATAAATCTAAAACAGAAGAGCCTATCCATGCAGCTCATCCAACAAAAGAAAATTATCACAAACTTCATCAACAGAAAACCCTAGAAGGCAATACCATCCACTAGAAGATCAGCGTGAAGCACCCAATCGAATAGAAAGCAGAATAGGATTTTATGAGATCAATTCGAAGCGATTAATAATGGAAGAAAAAAAATCAGATCTTACCGACATCGAATGTTCCTTTGCGGACGCAGCGCTGAGCAAAAGCGTAGGTTGCTTTTACGAATGATAACGGAATTTTTTGCGAATGCAGAATAAAATTTTTTTAGAAGCCGGGCCAAAACGCCATTAAGGAAGATGACGAAGGCTTGACTATACGTCAATCATATTTAAGCCTTTAATAAATGAAGCTACCTGCTTATGGGCCAAAGTTGCTAGTTCGAAGAAGTCGCTGACATGGGAAAAGGATATTGCCATCTTTGTTGGCTTAATAAGATTAGGTGTTGGGGAGTATGACTTGGGCTTGAACGAGTTCGCCAGATCTTGGAGCAAGAATCCCGATTGTAGCGAGCACAGCTAAATGCACCATTGAACAAGGCAATGAGTTTGCTATGATTTGATTGGGTTTGTACAAACCAGGACAGGTTCATGTTGGGCTAGGTGTATTCATGAAAGAAAGGGAAAGTGCATCGTCATTTATCATTCTTGCCAACGAGTTGTCCTGGGTTAATCTATCTACACCTTAATTGAGTACATAGAATACTTGGAAATAAAAATGTAGCCTCTAAAAATCCAACCTTGGAATAAACTTCCTGAAAACTGGTGAATGCTTGAGTTAAAGAACCTTAAGAAACATTGAATCTCAGCTAACAGTGCTTTCTTATCAAACTGCAACTAATGATTAATAGAAATATCACTTAAAAATAACTAGAAAAATATTTAGAAATATAAGAGAAAATTTTGGAAAACTTAAAAAACGACCATGAATTAAAAGTTTGTAAAAGAGTACTCAGCTAAGAAATTCGTGAGGATATCGCAATAGAGATAAAATTGACTTAATTCTTCAAATCTTCTATAGATAGTAAGCATCTAACCTATGAACCATCTTAATATACTAAGGTGTGTCACAAAAGATAGTAAAGATAACGTAAAAAATATGCATAATTTTATCTCTTTTGAAGCCATGCAACAAGTTAGCAATTTCGGGTTTATTTGGCAAAAAAAAACTAACAAATCACAAACATGAGCCTCGAACAACTGATAAGGCTAATGATGCAATTTAATGGTGCAGGCTAGATGTCAGCTTATACAATAATACCAACATCTAAATAGCTAAGAGGAATGAAAAAGATAGAAATTCTTTCACATGCAATACAACAACAACAGCAAAGCCTTAATCACACTACGTGGGGTCGGTTACATGAATCCTTTTTCTCCATTGCGTCCTATTTAGTGTCATCTTTTCATTTAGTTCTAATAAATTAGGATCATTTTTTATACAATAAGCCAAGTCTTTCTAGGTCTACCTCTGCCTTTCTTAACATAATTCAAATTTAAAACATCTACTCTCCTAATCGGATCATCAGATGGTCGACATTTAATGTGACCAAACCATCTTAGACGACTTTCTCTAATTTTGTCTGTCATAGGAGCTACACCAACCCTATCACGGATATATTCATTTTGCATTTTGTCTCTAAGTGTAAAGCCACTCATCCATCTAATCATTCTCATCTCGGCAACACTTAACTTTGTATTATGCTTCTCTTTTATATCTCAAAATAATAATAATAATAATAATAAAATAAAAAATCAACATAGAACGCACTATTACTCATACAACGCTAAAATATAGACTATCCAGCATTGCGAGTAGGCAAAGTATCAAACGACCTCTTAATTAATAATAATTAACAGGAAAAGAGCACAACACTTCATGCCTTCTCGGTTATCAGAGTCCTATATACCGCAGACGTGCTTTCATCAAAACGAAACGGATTGTGAAATCAACAAGCTCAATAATTCTAAAACAGAAGAGCCTATCCATGCAGCTCATCCAACGAAAGAAAATTATCACGAATTTCATCAACAGAAAACCCTAGAAGGCAATATCATCCACTAGAAGATCAGCGTGAAGCACCCAATCGAAAAGAAAGCAGAATAGTATTTTATGAGATCAATTCGAAGCGATTAATAATGGAAGAAAAACATCAGATCTTACCGACATCGAATCTTCCTTTGCAAACGCAGCGCTGAGCAAAAGCGTAGGTTGCTTTTACGATAACAGAATTTTTCGCGAATGCAGAATAAAATTTTTTCAGAAGCCGGGCCAAAACGCCGTTAAGGAAGACGACGAAGGCTTGACTCGCCGTCAACTATCGGAAATTGGCACTAAGGGGTAGGGCTGTCAAAAAAAAAAGATAATTGTTCGCGAACAGTTCGTGTTCGGTTCGTCAATGAGTTTGTGTTCGATTCGTTCGATAAGTAAACGAGACAAACGCGAACAATTTTTTTTCGTTCGGTTAGTTAAACGAATCAAACACAAACAGTGATACGTTCGTTCGTGTTCGAATCGTTATTGTTTGAAATATAAAATAATATAAAATAATTATATATAAAAAATTTATTATATTTTAAAACATTAAATTTTATAAATTATATAATATTATTTTTATATATTAAAATTAGGGATGTCAAATTGGCTCATCGTTCGTGAACAGCTCTTGTTCGGTTCGTGTTCGGCTCGTTCGTTAAGAAACGAACACGAGCTTATTTCAAACAAACTAAATTTTAAACGAACCGAACACGAACACAAGCTTTGTTCGTTCGTGTTCGGTTCGTTTACACCCCTACTAAGGGGATGAGAAGGGGACTGAGCGGGACAGGACAGTTTGGTTGGCGTGGGTCCCGATTTTTTTGCTATCTTGGTACGCCGGCCGGAGATCACCCTCAAAAGAACAAAGTGATTTTTTAAAGGCTCCAATTTGAGATGATATTTATTTTTATTTTATTTTATTTATATTTTAATTTAGGAGTAAAATTATCTGATGAATTGAACATTAGTTCATTAACTTTTATTTGAACATTAAAATAAATTAGGATAATTTATATACATGTCATCTAATTTTTTTTTATTTTCATATCTAACATTTAAAATTATTTATTTACGTCTATAACTCCTAAAAAATTCTGACAACCCAAGGTCTAGTTTTGGATAAATTTAACTTTTTATAAAATCAATTGGTAAATTATTTTGTAACAATTTTATCAAAATTGAATTGATAAAAGAGCATAGTTATCTGGGAATTGAGTGTGTTGAATCATAAATTGTGTTCTTATGAAACATGACCGGGGATTTAGAGCTCAGAAAAGAAAAGTGAGAGTGTGTGTGTGAGAGAGAGAGAGAGAAGGGAAAGTTGAGAAATGTAAGAGAATCTTCAAATGTCATAATCTTCGAAAGAGGATCCAAAAGGTCCCTTTATTGACGTCACGTTATCCTATTTATAGAGGTCGAGAAAAACAAGTACATGTAAGAAAAGAGTACTTTTCATAATTGACTGAATGATTGAATTCAAATTATATGGTAATGACAATAAAAACAACGCATGATCGATCATCTTGAGGTCGACCGGCTCTGTCGATTGTCCGTCGTGTGTAGGTATCGGTCGATCGTGTCAGTCAATCTCAACTTCTTCTTGGCAATTGGGTTGTTTGACCAGGGCGTGCGGACCTTCGCTACTAATCTCATGACCTGTAATTTCATCGGTTGACAGATTTTGCTGAAAAGATTTTGTTGGTCAGTTAAGTTGGTTGACTAAACTGTAAAGTCGGTCGATTATTTATTGTTGAGTTATTTGTTCTGCAGTCAGGCACCTTACTTATACTCCTATGTTGTAGATTGTCAGATTTTCTTGAGATACGTGCTGACACATTCATAGTATACAAATTAGTTTCTTGATTTCTCTGCTCTTTGTTTAAAAAAATTACTATGCGGTAAATGGCACCAAAATCGATAAAATTAATTCAATAATCAACTCTCCCTCAATTTTAGGCATTTGGACCAAAAAGTAGCAAAATAGAGGAAATTTGGAGCCGAAATGGAGATTTCATGATCTTGGTGCCAGATTGGAGTTTGAAGCGCCAATTTCCAGAGAGCTGTCACTAGAATCATCAGAAACTGGTGCCAAAGGCGCCATTTTACAGAGAAGCGACGCCAAAAGTGCCAGAATTGGCTCAAAATATGCCAGAATCTAGATAACAGCGCAGACTTCATTAGGTTGGCGCCAGAAGTGCCAGAGACAAATTAAGATAGAGTAAGGTGGTTCGTGACTATTTTTGAGTGATTTTTGAAGGCTCCAAATAATTCAAATGACTCATTGAGTGGTTCAATGCATCTAGACACTTTGGAAGGTTCTTTAATTAAGAGATATGTCTCTTGGATGAAGGGACTTGTCTCTTGGTGCTAAAAGATGTGACTTTTGGGGGAAAAGTTGAAGGGAATTTTGAATTCTTTTTGAAAGAAGGCTGACCCTAATTAAAAAGAAGAGGAGTCTAAAGAAGAAAGGGGGCGTGAGATAGAAAGAAAGGTTTTGGCGTGAGAGAGAAGTCTTGGTGAAGAGAAGACTTTCTTCTAATGTTGTAAGAGGAGAGAGAAGGTGAGAGATTTCTTCTTCATTATATTTCTAAGAGAGACTTGAGTGTGATTGTAAAGTGAGAAAGTGCTTAAAAGGAACTTATAGAGATTTGTTTAGGAAGGAGTGTTAGGGAAGTTGTGATCTTTTCTTTCTTTATTTATAAACTTATTTTTATATATAAAATATGTGTTTTGTTGTTTCATTCTGATACACCAAAATAATATGTTATTCTAAGTATGCATTTTATGCTCATTTTTTGTGGTAGTGCACTTTAAAGAAGAGTATTTTCATATTTTTGTTGTAGGTATATCAATTTTAGGCATTTGGAGCAAAAGTAGCAAAAATGACAAAATTTAGAGTCAAAACAGCGAATTTTGAGATTTTCAAAACAGCGAATTTTAGAGTCAAAACAGCGAATTTTGAGATTTTGGCGCCTGAAGCACCACTTTACAAAGAGCTGGCACCTGAAGCGCCAAATTTAGCGCTTGAAGCGCCAAAACCAATAACAATGCGATCTTAAGCAAGTTGGCGTTTCAAGCATCAGAACCACCGCCTGAAAGAGACACACATGTTCTAAATACCCAATGGAGTGATTCAATGCATCTAGACACTTTGGAAGGTTATTTTATGAAGGGATATGTCTCTTGAATCAATAGACATGTCGTTTGAATTCGTTTGAATTCAAAAGGGTTGTGAATTCAAAAGGGTTGACTTTTGGATAGAATTTTGGAGGAAATTTTGAATTCATTTTGGAGGGAGACAACTTCTAATAAAAGAGAGAGAAGTCTAGGGCATGTGTATGGTGGCGTGGAGAGAAGAAGAGGGGCATGAGTAAGAGAGAGAGAGAGAGAGAAAGTCAAGGGCTTGGAGATTTTCTTCAAGGATTGTAAGAAGAGAGGGAAAGTGAGAGATTTCTTCTTCGTTACTTTTCTAAGAGAGAATTGAGAGTGCTTGTAAAGAGAGAAGTGCTTGAAAAGAACTTCTAGGGATTTGTTTGGGAAGGATTGTGAGATAAGTTGTGTTCTTTTATTTCTTTAATTTGTAAACTTGTTTTTATATATGAAACCTATGTTTTATCGTATCCTCCTCATAAATTCTGAGTAGTCTTCTTTATCCTTCTCTCTAATTTGAGATATGGTTTTGTAAAGAATTGATTTTATTTTATACAGTTTTGAACTCCGATCTTCATTTACTTTTTGATCTGACCAATTGAAATGTTAAAATGTGTTGAGAAACATATGTTCCGAAAGAGCTATGACTTCTACAACATAGTGAGAATCACATTTAATTCCATGGAGGATGTCTTCCATGGGATTGAGTGCTAATAAATAAAGAAATATACTTTGTTGGATACAAAATTAAAGATTTTAAGGTTACATATTAAAATCCTCACTTTGATCCAATTGATTGGAAACTAATGCGAGTTTTTTAGCCCTGAGGTGAGGGAGTAGTGGGAGCTCTGGAGTGGCAGCAGTTATCCTCCCAGCCTAACCACGAAATTAGGGACCGAACTCTAAATTAGTCTATATTTTAGGGATCGAACTCTAAATTAGTCAATATTCTTTATGCACTTGGAAGAGGGTAAAGAATAGGATTGCTCATATTTGGCAAAAAATAATATATTGATTTTAATTTTTTTACAATCCACATACTCATTGTAAATGGGAAGGATGTTTTCTTAAATTTGAACTCTTTCTTACAAAAGTTTTATTTAGTTTTTGTAAGTTTACTTTTAAAAGTTTAGCAATTAGTTTAATTAACTTAGTCTTTTAATTGCATTTTATTTAACATTCACTCATTTACTATAGATTTGAAATTCGTACTTCACTTTTGTAGTTTAAATTGTAGTTTACATTATAATCATAAGAATTTACTCATAAGCATTTCCAACTTCCTTGTGAGATTGATATTTAAGACTCCATTAAATCCCTTTATTACTTGAGTGATATGTATACTTGTGTTATTTTTAGGGGATTTGGCAGTTTAAAACTTTTTTAAAAAAAAGATAAAAGTATTTTTACTAATGGTGTTTTTGTTGGGATAAAACTGCATATTTACTATTATATATGTCGTGTGTATTTTGTAATATTGAAAAATAATTATAAAAATAGCACACTAAATCTGCCCACATCAAGTTTTTGGCGTCGTTGTCGGGGAAGTAACAGAAAGTATTAATAAGTTATTTTATAATTTAAATTATTTTATTTAAAGTAAAAAAAAAGTATTTTTAGTTTAATTTGAATATTTTCTTCATATTTTAATGCGTTTTCTTATTTTAATTATTTATTGTGTTTGTTTATGCATAGTGTAAGATCTGAAAATTTAGTACCTTACGATTCGGAGTTGGAAAGAACTATTAGAAATATTAGAAAACAACAAAATGAGATAGATCATTTCAGCAAAATGGCTTGCAACTCAAGTGATGCTGGAAATAAAAAAGAACATCATCAGAGACCTTTAAGAGAATATGTAATCCTATAGCAGATGAAATTCATTTGAGTATATAAAATTATGCTGTAGCGACCAATTCATTTGAGCTTAAACCTACTAATATCCAAATGGTACAAAACAATCAGTTTAGAGGAACACCAACTAAAGATCCTAATTTAGACCTTTCAAGTTTTCTAGAATTGTGTGCTACTTTTAAATATGATGGAGTGTCAAGTGATGTTGTCAGACT